ATATATATATATATATATACACACACACACACATATATATTATTGATATTTTTACTCTTTAAACAAACTAAATCCATTTTTCTCAAAAATCTCAAGTTTTGAATTAGAAATAATATAGTGTATAAACCCTCATATATTTTGAATGGAAACAATAAATATATTCAAAGTCAGAGGTTGCCAACCATTTTCTGAGAAAGGACAAGCTGCACAAGACAGTTCTAGAGGCCAAGTATAAAACATATAGTCAAAGAATAAGATTGCTTTTTATTTCTAAGTGACAATGGGTGTAAATCAATTTAAAATTTGCAATTGCATTTTCAAAAGGATTTTATCAAAATTTGGGATAGATTTTGTGGTACCCAATAATAAACTTTTTGAGACTTAAAATTTTCTCCTAGCAGAGATCAGTTAAAAATTAACAAATTTCCTTCTTTAAATAGGTGTTTATAACAATCATTTGCAGCAAAGTCTATTAATTATACTTGAATTTTGAAAAATTTATATGCTTGAACTAGTTCAAATGTCAATAAAACATATAAATGAAAACAAGCTCTGTAGGCTGGATAAATATGTATTGAGGCTATATTTGGCCTTCAAGCCATCGATTGGAGACCCATTGTAAATCAAATCATAGATTTGCAACGTCTAAATTTATATGCCTGGAAACTATTTACTGGGTATAAATATGCATATTTTAATAGCATATACCAATAAATAAATAACATAGCAGTTTTTTAACATTTTCAATATTAACATTAGCATAACATTTAACTTTCTGCTGACTAAACTTAAAAATTTTATCTATTAGAAGAGTTCGTAACACTGTTTTTTTATTTAGCGCAGACAGTCATACACTTTTCTCTATTTCTTGCTTGCTACAACTCTTAGGATGTTTTCATTAATTAGCCTCCATAAAAAGATATAATTTTATCATATCACTTAACAGTTATTGAAAGAATTGGATACACTTATTTATAATTACTGATTACTCTGATACGTACTACCATAATCAAAACACGTAACATAACAATTATGCCGGAGCCAACCGGCGGCACGGCGGATAACACCACCGAACGCCGGTAGTCGGTCGCGGGTCGGCCAAGTGGAGTTTTCCGGTTTTTCTTAATGCCGCCAACGCCTAAACAGGGGCCAGTTTCCCATAAAATACCTTCCCCTCTGCAGATCACCCACGTGACTCGTTTCTTTAATCGAATAAAATTGCAGGATGAGTATTAATAGAATAAAATTTGTTAGAGGCTAGTTTCATGCCATTTATTTGTGTGTGGACACGTATGAAAGTGCCTAAAATTCTCGTATGTGTTCATTCTAACATTGAAATTCCTAATAATTAGGTTACCAACAGAAAGCTTACATGAAAATATCGTTGATACACACGCGTGTTTAAACATAACAACGTAAGATAATAAATTATCAAAGGAAATTATAGTTTAAATCTCCCCCATTCAATGGGAAACGTACGTGATCCTATTATATTTCTAAAATGATGCTATACTTACCTCTTATTTATTAATTTTTATATATTTATTAACATATAATGTTAAAAATGCCTTAAATTAATGTAATTTATGTTATTCATTTTTCAACTTTCATTCATTGATTTTGACATGCAGAAACTGATTTAAGCAAACTATAAACAAGCGCTTTCGATTACTCAATTTTGTAATTTAGAGGAAATTCCCCTAAATACAGGGGATTTTTCCTCTAAGTCTTTCGAGAAAATAAATTGAAATTTCTTAACTTTTAATATATATTATTATTTTTAATATTATTATTTAAAGTATTTTTATAAAATGCTATTTATCATTTGAGTAGACCGCAAGTCTCGTCTTGTCGGATTATAACTGAAGAGCAACGACGGCCGAAGCGATCGTGTAGAAGAGTCTTAAGCGAATAAAATCAATTTTCATAATTTATTGACAAGTACATAAACCAAGTAGAATACTTATTACAAAAATATTGAAGAATTCAAACGAATCTTCTTTTTTATTCTTCTATATTTTTAATATTTAAATTACCATGGGCCATTTCTTAATTGAAACCAAACACTATTACATCGTCAATGTTGCAGGCCGAGCAGTCAAGGTGGTAACTAACCGCTCTGGGACCCGAGGATCGAATCCGGACGGGTCGAAAAAATTCCCAGGAATTTTTCGGGGTGATCCGACCAGATATATCGACCTCCGTCCCTCACCACCCGGCTGCCCCATTCTGGGTCTGGCCGAACCCATAATGGGCTTGCTAAAAGAGGCCCTCTTAGTGCCCACGGGACGGAAAAAGTTTTAAAAACCCATAATCGTGATTTTTTTTCTTTTGAAGGCCTCTTCCCGCTCTGAGAGCACCAAGAGGCCTATGAACTAACAATTAGAAATGTAAAATGTATTATAATGTGTAATGTTAAGAGGGAGCGAAATGAATACATACTATTTAATTAAGGGAGCGTTGCCTGCAGAGCAAGGGTGCTGTAAAGGTGTTAAGAGAAACCTGCCAACATTGTTGGGGGATAATTGGGATAGGAGGGAAACAGTTCAATGAGAATAGCAGAGAAATAATATACCCCTGCAGAACAATTTACTAGTCTTATGCTAATGTATTTAGGATAGAAGAACACCGACCAGAAGAGGGCGCAAAATACATTTTTTTTAATAGATGGCACTACAATCACGATGGACACACATAAATATAACTTACTTTTAAGGGGAGGCATGATAAACGAGAGAGAGAGAAAGGGGAGGCATGGGTGGGGTGGCTTGTGGGACTTAAAGTCCCAGAAACCTGGTTATTTCTATCAGGTTGCTGGGGGGAGTCAATGTGAAGATTTTGCTGCTGGATGACTTGATTAAAATTTTTCTCGAGCTCCTGAATCAGAAAGCTTACTCCAGCCAGGCTTTGAATGGCTTTGTCTTTAAGTTCTGTCCGCATGTTGCGGGCGGCCTCTATACACTCTTTGACGGTGAATAGTTTCTCTTTTATTCCTTCTTCTAGCTCCATGATGATATCTTGAGACTTATCCATGCTAACTCTTTAGGTATTAATTTATTGGATTGACTTTAATTTTCTTTATATACTATTCCTACTGTATTATTTTAAAACTTTACCTAACCCAGGCACCAGAAAGAATAAAAACAGTTCCTCACAAAAACAGCAACACGTCTTAACAGAACACTCTCCTGAACTGGAATCCATAATCGTGATTTAAACATACATATAAATTTCCTCTGGCGACCGTTTATCGGTGTGTCTTTCCTTAATTTCCAGAATTAGATACACGAAAGTCGAAAACAGATATGGAAAGCTTTGGGGGAAAAGGCCCCATTAACTGTAGGCTATACGAACTTCCGGTTTGCACGGAAATCAAATTATTTCAATTCAAATATTTTCCACCGAATGCCGGTAACTTATTAACATAGATAAACAACATTCAATTAAATTCTATTGCTAACAGAAAAACTACAATGTAGAAGTACGAGATATTACTAGAATTGAGAACATTGTGACGTCACAATAAATAACTGCTTGTTACTTCTGTTATTCCTACGTGTATTGGCTTCTTTTCATTCATTCTTACAATAATAAATTAAACGGAAACACGCAACTCTTTGCATGCCCTTCGTTATTTCCAAACGAATGGCAACCCAGAACTCACCACGGGGAGGTGGCTGCGTCAGAGTTCCACCGAGAGCTGGAAAGAATGAAACTCTACACATAATTAGCATCACTTGTGGAGTTTCATTCGTCCTAACTCAAATTTGAAAAACAGCTGCATAACGCTAATTAAATAGTTTAATAATAATCAAAATTGTACATACAAACATTTGTACAGTACATTAAACTTACCGTATTATTCCTGTATAAACTAATGCATACGATATTCTAACAACTAACAACGAAAGTCAGTAACGATACCTTACCATAATGAAACACGCGAACGAATATTGCAAATGAAATATAATGCGCTTCGAACACTTCACGGAACATATTCTAAGTAGAAATTAAACGTGTTAAATTAAATATGTTTGAATTCAACATTCTATCACATTTCTTATAAATCAAAATTCATAGTTTATTTACTTGCTATCAAGATTTTTTCCACAAATCTAAAGAAAAAAACAGGTGAAAAGAAGAAAGCGGAAGTTCACTTGTTTTTTCCTCCAACGAAACTGCACCAACAATAGAAATATTAACAATGCATTATTAACAATGCATTCAAACAATTGGTTACTTTCCACAAATACGTGACATGTGTTACGTCATAACATTAAAGGAACAAAGTTCAGTATTTCCAACTTAGTAACACTTGACCTAGTCTTCTTCGGCTTGTTCTCGAACCATTTCTTTGTGGCGGGTCGAATGTCGTCACGAGTGAAATGAATTCCTTTGAGATTTCGCTCGAAAGTAGAAATCAACGAAAAGTTTGAGGGCGTCAAATCTGGGCTGCAAAGAGTCTTCGAGAACTTTAAATCCGAGTTTCTGTGTGGCCTTAAGTGTGAAAGCAATGGCGTTCAGTCTAGGGTAGTCGTGTTGCAGAATCATTGGCTTTTCCAGTTCTAAAACCATAAACTCAGCACACTAAATTATAGAGTATTAAGAGAATTAAGTGTATCTCCCGAATTGATTTTCGTTTAAATTATTAAAAAATACTTTTGCTATTATTTTAATAATTTGAGAATAAGTATCCAATGTAAACGAAAGTCTAACCTAGTCTATTTATAAATCGATTTAATTAATTTACGATAATTTGTATAAAAATCTAAATGATGGAGATGTTTTAAGCCCAGGCCCTATCCTAATTTACTCAATTTTAAGCACGTAAACAAAAACAAAAAATGACTTACTTTCGAGAGACGTAGGTAGAAAATTGGACATGAAATAGTCCTATCTCTCGACAATATACTATCTTATATTAAGTAGACTTTATGACCTTTCCCCCAACATTATTATGTCCGAAAGCGAATTTTTATTCCCTAATTTCTACGTTAATCCCAATTCCTTACGGCACATTTAACCTGTATTTTTGAAGCAAACTTTATTTGATAAATCAATGTAAAATCTTCAATTTCCGAAAATATACAATCAAATTTCATTATATAAAGATAAAATATTCGGCAGTTTTTAAATTGTTTAACATCTGCTTAATTATTATTCCCAAGACTTATGCATGATTTCAGTACATTTAATCACTGAATAGTTCTTATGTTATTTAAGTACTTAGATGGCCTCTTAAAGATGTTAGATTGGTGGATTCGGATACGATCCTAATTCATACTAACAAAATTTTTTATGGGTATATGAGTCATGGTCCACTGTTCGACCCCACTGTGTCAGACCTGCAGGTAATAGCGCAATTATGGCCCGCTATATAGTTTATATAGTGCAAACACTACGCAATGCGTTAATTAATCAATCTTACCTCTTACAACACACTATAGAACACAATTAAAAATAGTGGTCATCTAAATTCCTTAACGATAGAGTAATAGAGATGATGATCCAATATGGCTCCATTCTATTGATAGAAAGCTTTAAATATGAGAAATATTAGATTGTTGCAAATGAAATGGCCGGTTTTATGAATTTCATTTACAATGCAATAGAAATGCATTAACGCCGATTGTATAGAAATCGCGAGAACCAGAAGCCAAAAAGTCATGAAAGGTACTTTTTATTGCGTCCTCTTCCTTGAAGACTTTCCTTGCCAAAAAACTGTCCAAATGTATTTTAAAAAGTGGCAAAAAGTCTGGAGAATAAGATGGATGAGGAAGAATTTCATTTGAATACTTTATGTGACAAATGTAAGGTAGCCGACCCGGTGGAGATAGGGGACTTTAAACCCACTCCACAACACCTGTGTAAGGTTGCCGTCTTGTAGGTGGGATCTATTAATCCCGCATCAGGATGAACCTAAGAGAAGGTTGTATGTAGGCTGTGACGGAGGAGGCAAATGATGACAAGTGTTTTACACAAGAAAGCCGTTTATTTGTTAACATTTATGCTTACATCGACAATCGACAATCCTTCACTAGGTTCTTCTCGTCGAAGATGCGGAGAGGCGAGAACTTCGGCGTCTGTCTGGCCCCGGGGCGGACGATCGGAAGTTGGAAGCGGCGGAGTCCAAAGTTCTTGGCGACAACACACCACAATATAAGTCACGACCTTTCGTGGAATACGGAGGAGAGCTCTATGACCTTGAATTTCGGATTTTTATAGTTTTTTCTCCCACTATTCGGACTTCTGATTGGCCCCTCGTCCCCTTCCTCGCTTCCCGATTGGTCTCTCTTTTGTTTTGGGGAAAACCCAGACCGACTCGGGTCACGGGAAAGATCCGATTCCAGGTGTCTGCTCGATGTCATTCTGTCCATTGTTCTTGGGGATTGTTGACAAAATTGCAAGACTCGCGATTTCTGTCATCTGGGTACTCGAACGATCATACGCAATGATTTAGCTCTCTTAAATCTTTCTCTCTTTTCCGAAATTGTTTCCCTAGATTGATTGTTTATGAGCGCTGGGGTCAAAGTTCTACCTGCATACGACCACTTGTCTCTGACATAACTTTTCATTCTGACATTGACAGTTCATTTAACACGTGTTGGAGTCATCCGAGACTCGTTGTCTACATTTTGTGCCGCGTTGTTTAGATTAAGGGATTTTTCTCCCCCTCTCATATTTAATCTATCGTTATTATTTAAACATAAGAATACCGCGATTTACATGATTTCGGACCTCGATTGGGTCCTCACAGAGCTCCCGGATTTTTAAAAAGATAGCAACATTTTAGCCGGCAGCGTTGGCAGCTGTCAGTCTACGCTTCCGTCTTTCGGGAGGTGATCACAACATCATCTCAAGTTTGTGTTTCTTTCGTGCGTGACTGATCTCGCGTTACATCGAAATGTGGAAATTGTTTTCCTGCAGACACATCATTTGAGCATCATACGAAATTAATTGATTGACTGTCATTTTCGCGTAACATCTCTTGACTCTTGTCAAGGTACGAATTTCTTTGATAAAACAAAATTTTCTCATTTTGAGACCGAGCAATCCATATTAATCCTTAATTAATTAATTAAAGTTGCATTTTTACTTCTAAAATCGAAAAAGGGGTTAAAGTTTGCTCCATTTTGTTCGATCAGTCTGTCACTCAGAAAATAATTTTCAGGGACACTTGGACATGTTGACTTAATGTCTGATGGTCACCTGTCTTTTATCTTATTGTCTTCCTGTGTTTCGGGTTTCCAACAGAATCCTTTTGAGTACTTTGGAGCGATTGTTCTCCGTTTTGTACTGGACTGGAAAATGGAAGGATGTCTGCCACCTCGACTTCCTCTGCAGGCATTGCTTCTTCCGGTTGTCCATCTTGTGAACGTGTGACAGTTTCCGCTATGCAGATTACCACAAATCAAGGTGACATAGTTCTGATATGACATTTCTCTCGATTCTGGTAAGGTTCGTGTTGTGAGATTGGTTTCCTGATGCCAACTTCGACATTACTTCCGAATATCGCCAGTTCGTTTCACTGTTGCTTTTCCTTGTGACAGACTTGATTATCTCATGTGTTTGAAATAGGAGGGACAATTTTCCTCACATTTAGATTATATGAATCGCTCAATCTATTTTCCCGATCACGTTTTTCTCGCGACAATTTTTGATTTGATCAGCGCGTGTGTGAATACAAATTTCACATTTCATTTTCCTCCGGACAAAACATGTTTTTCATCAATAAAGGCACATTTGCCGAAGCTTTCTCGCGATACATATGATTACCACAAACGAGTGAATAAATTGTTACCGATTTTCTCATTGTTACTTACCAAAAAGGGAGTTTACATTACTACTATTTCCGAGTTCGCGACAATTGATTTGTGAGCGCGCGCGCGTTTTTACATCCGACCTCTCTCCATTTGGATATGATAATCTCTCTTTGACGGGAAAGAGAAACTACCATTTACAATTAGTGAATAATCCAATGGGAGTGGGAGGTGGCAGCCGCGGGTGGCCCTCATTCTGCTGAGGAGTCTCGGTAACATCCGCGTCCTGCACCGTTGCCACATTTGTATGCATATTTCCCGAAGACTTGGGAAGAACCCAGGGGTATTCGCTCACTGGTCCTTGACTTCGGAGAGCATATTTGTATGAGGGTTGTGGAGGAGTCGCGGGTCGATCTATCTCTGCTCCTCTCACTGTGTCTGAAGTGTCTGATCGACTTCGTTGAAGTGATGCTAAGATGATCTCATCCCAGGGGTCGACGGGCTCTACCTGCGGTTGCTCGCAGTTACGGGGAGTGTATCTGTGTTTATTGTGTCAGTATCCTTTCCTTCTGCTTCAGATTGCGCGAATTCCATTCTAGCTATCGCAGGCTTCATCCGATTGGCATGTGTGTGTAATCTTTTCCCTGAATGAACGTGCTGGACTATAAAATCTACAGGACTTAAGTTTGCGCCCTAAGTTTGCTTTTCTGTGAAAATGAACTAAAGCACATCATTTTCTATCTATCTATATAAATAAAAATGTAATGTTCGTTTGTTCCTACCGATTCCTTTGAAATTTTGACACAACGCTGCATTCCAATACGCACGTGTTTTTATATAATATACGTGTCGAAATTCCCCCGGGAGATGAACAGGATTAAGGCTTACCGTAAAGAATTCTGCTTCTATTTATACTATTTTAGATGCGGTTTTTTGCGTTTTAATAGGGTACTGTCAACAGAATGTACACTAAGAAGGGATTTTTCTAAAAATTCCCCCCTACAAGGGAAGTGTTATACATTTATAATAGACACATTTTGAGCCACAACAACGCGATCTGCTAGTGGAAAATAAAATTTGAAGCTTTTTCTTCAAAATTAACGCATTTCTTTCGTTTTTTTTTCAGTTTTAATTATTTTTTATGTTTAATTACATTAATATTAAAAATTGCTGGGAACAAAAGGGGTTAATTAATTAAACATCAGCGTCTTTTATACAACCTTGTGACGTGCCAGTTAGGAAAAAAATTGCCTCGTCCATTTTTTTTAACGAAACCGAATTCCGAATCAATTTGCTCACGTGATGGATTATTCGAAAAATTTAAAAAGAAAATCAGTTTTCGAATATGGGTACCAACGAAACAAAACAGGAAAGCGCTGAGAAAGAAAAACAAGAGAAAGGAAAACAAGAGAAAGAAACGCAAACTGAAAACAAAAGTAAAGATGAAATTAAGAAAAACGAAAAAAACCAAAGAAAATGAGCTAAATTTATTAGTCAGGTATCCGAAAACCGATAATGTAAGAATGGTAGTAAACACAAGTAGTCGTCGTTGTGCCTCACGTGATGAGATATTCGAAATTTAAAAAAAAATCAATTTTCGAAATCAACGATTTTAGAATTAAACTTCGAAATGGGAAATACAGAAGCAAAAGAAAAGTCCAGCAATGAAAGAGAGAAGGAAGAAAAGAAAAAAACAGACAGAAGAAGAGTGGAAAACAACAGCGAGGAAAAGTGAAAGCGAAAATGAAAAGAAAGCAACAAAAAATGAGAAGAATGAACTAAATGCATTAATCGCATACCCGAAGAATGCTAACATCATGGTTAGAA